CTAACAGAATCTGGGGCCTCCTATTGGTCCATCACTTACCTTAGAAACAAGGGCTGTCATTGAGGGAGACTAACAGAATCTGGGGCCTCCTATTGGTCCATCACTTACGTTAGAAACAAGGGTTGTCATTGAGGGAGACTAACATAATCTGGGGCCTCCTATTGGTCCATCACTTACCTTAGAAACAAGGGTTGTCATTGAGGGAGACTAACAGAATCTGGGGCCTCTTATTGGTCCATCATTGACCTTAGAAACAAGGGCTGTCATTTGTCATACCAGGGTGTAAAATAGAATTTTGTTTCTCCTTTTGGCCCATCATTGATCTTAGAAATATCAGCTGTCATTTATAATATTGGGTATCTAACAGAATATGGGACCTCTTATTTGTCCATCATTGATCTTAGATACAAGGGCTGTCATTTTTGATATTCCCGCGTCTAACATGATCTAGTACCTCTTATCGGCCAATCATTGATCTTAGAAACGAGGGCTGTCATTTTTGATATTCCCGCGTCTAACATAATCTAGTACCTCTTATCGGCCAATCATTGATCTTAGAAACGAGGGCTGTCATTTATCATACCAGGGGTTTAACACAATCTGGTATCAGTAATTGGTGTATAATGAACTTAGAAACAAGGGCTGTCACACATCACTGGGGAGTCTTCACACATTTTCGAGTACCTTATTTCTAGGTATATTATATTGATCTGAGAAACAAAGACATGCATTCAGGTGCTTTATCATAATAATAAACGAAAGTCTGCACGTAACCTTTGATTAGCATTGAGTCCTTTTGGAATACTTTTAAGAGGGTGCTTTAGTTCAGTATAAGTAATATTTCATTTTTTTTACAATGACAAACGGCATTCATAATATTATGGTCTGGGAGGTGTCACTATATGAGCCGTAGTTGTTTATGTTTTTTTCCCTCGTACATCATTATAAGTTTGTGTTTCGTTTGTTTCTCTATTTCACTTACCTTGGTACATTTTGGTCACAGGTCTGAAGGAGCTGCGTAAGACACTACACAACGCCCAGACGCAGGTCCAGGTGAGCCGAGAGAATCTAGTACGGAACCTTTTTGACATCTACACAGACCCAATGATCGTCGACTCCTATCTGCACGTCAAGATGGTGGATGAGCAAGGGTCAGACTGGGGAGGAGTGAGTCGCGACTGTTTTACGTCTTTCTGGAACGAAGTGTCGGAGAACTTTTTCCGCGGAAGCTCCGTCCTAATTCCGCATCTCCCGCCACACAGACTTGAGGAGGAGTACAAATTCCGTTTACTGGGACGTATCCTGGCTCACAGCACTGCTATACTTGGATACATTCCAGTGCCTTTGTGCAAGTCGGTTGTCATGGTCACCATATTCGATACAACCACTATCGAAGAAAGCACACTTCTTGAGGACTTCCTCTTGTTTCTTGACCAACACGATGCCAGGATAGTTCAAAAGGCTCTGACAGATTTCGGATCACTGTCAGACGAGGACAGAGACACTCTCCAAGACATGTTTTCAAGGTTTGATATGGGGTGTTTGATACAAGAATCTACATTCCGAGACCATTTTCTCAAAATGGCCAGAAGTGAACTTTGTATTAAACCACGATCATTGTGCGAACTGATACGGGAAGGAATTCCGCAAATTCACTACGAAAGATTCTGGAGTCAGTTGACATTAGACCATCTGCAGATTCTCAACGATCGACTCAAACCCACTGCTGAAAAAATTATCGCGTGCCTTCGTCCAGACGAATCGGAACTGAATTCTCGGACCGAGACAGTTTACGAATACTTCACCGATCTTATCGCGGACCTCTCACAAGATGATCTGGAAATACTGCTTCAGTTTATTACGGGACAGGCGTGTGTGCCCCGTCGCAATATTACTGTTAATTTCTCCGATCTTTCCGGCATGGAGAGACGTCCCATTGCTCACACATGCAGTTTCTCCATAGAACTTCCCGATACATACGAGTCTTACGAGGAATTCGAAGCAGAGTTTAGAATCTTTCTCAAATCTGACATTATCAGATTTGACATTCAGTAAGAGAGAGGCCTTACACTTAAACACTTATCATGTTGAAGGTAAAAAGGATGTAAAACGCATCCAAGTTCACTTTTTTCATTTAATTCGTATTCAATATGGCAATAAGCGATCATTCCATAGGTTTAGTACCTATCATTGTACATGTATTCAGATAAGATTTAGTTTGACGTTTAAAACATGTGTGACAATACAAATTTTTTGGGACCTTGCACACATGCTGTTACATATAATTTCATTTAAGGATCCCTGTACCACTGCAAAAAACTGAATTAATAATGTCTTGGAATTTTTGAAAAAATATTATTATTTTTTGCTTTATTATATCTTTGAAAAAAAATTTTTTTGAAAGTTGAAAAGGCTATGAACATTTTTGTAAAAAAAGGAATAATCATGATGAAAGAAAAAAATAATTAGAAATGCTATTTCGAGTGCAAAAATAAAAATGCAACGGGGCAAGGATTTGAACATAAGTTTTGGACTTCAAATCGTTATACTGTTGCTCCAACTAGCTGAGCTACCTGATCAACAGTAGTACCTTCCCCAGTCGCACTAAGATCATATCCAAAATGGAATTGAGGGGAGGTAACTGCATGTACCAAACAATACAGTGGAATTCTCCAGTGTTTTGCCTGCAAGGGGATGGGACTCCTTAATATGATCTACTTTAAAATAATGAAATGAAGGTGAATATATAGTTATATGGACCTTGGAAAGTGATATTAATAGACACGAAGTCAAGGTCAATATCACTTTTAATTTCAATATAACACAACAAAAAAGTCCTTAATTGCTATGCAGCCATGGATTAGATATCAGATTACGACATTTTTATTATTCAACGAGTAAGCAAACCATCAAGAGTACTGTAAAGCCCCTTAACTTTGCAGGATCAATATTTCACGTTTTCATATTCAGTTCATATTCGCGTGGGTTAAATTTCGCTGTGCATCAAAATCCCATGTGTCGTGCAAAGTATTTTGATTGTCATACTTTAAGGGTTAGACCTCAAAATACAGGAAAACCTTTTGAAAACACTGATCCCGAGCGTTGTCATCCGCCAGTGACTTCACTCGAAAGATAATAAAATGTTTATGTACCTTTGTAGGAGTGAACTGTAATCAGTTAATCACCAACTGTGTACACATACATATGTTGTGGCCACTTAATTATACGTAAGTGTTGTTTTTACATGGACTGCCCAGTTGTCCGGCGATAATCTAATTTGAGTTTATTTAAGCTTGCATAACAGCGTTGGGTTATAAGTATTTTTAACATGTTGTGATAAGGTCGCATTTTTGATAATTTCGCTGGTGTTTAGAATTTGCGGATATCAGTCAAAGCGCGAATGTAGCGAAATTAAAACTCCCGCGAAATATAACCTCCATACAGTACTTCATTCGGCAGATCTAGAGAACAATGTGACGAAACAATTGACGTGATGTCATAAAGTGGATATTGACCCAATGGTTCTAAAAATAGTAACACAGAGTCAATATCGCAAACCACATGATTATGATTTAACCAATGAGAATGTGGAAATAAATAGTAGCATCTAATGTCAAATGACAATGGGGGAAATATATAAAGAGTCAAAAATATGGAATTGGAGATTTCAAGAATGACCTGGAAAAGCTTGCTTTTCACTAAATTTGCAGAAATTCTGAATCCTGTGATCAAATAATCTTAATTTGTTTCTTTTTAGCTGGACCAGAGGCTCGTGTTAAAATGAAAAATTAATTATACTTATGTAATAATTTTATACATAAATATGTAATATACATATAATGAGAGAAATTTCCAAGGTATTCCACCCCATTATTTTATAAATACATGTTAAATGAATGACATAAAACAAAAATTCACAACGAAAGACAATTTTGGCTTAAAATTATTCCAGAAGTATCCAAAAACTCCCAAAACGTTTTGGTTAAATAAATCATTTTATTTTCTACAGGATTCCTTTAAACAGATTATAGCACAAACGTCTTGCTCTGAACTGAGTGGGGGGG